CGGAAGGTTTCAATATACAGGTGCTGTCAGAGCGCCGGGTCCCAGATAGAATATAGCATGTTGTAACATAATATAACAAAGTTTAGGGTTTAGGGTTTAGGGTTTAGGGTTTAGGGTTTAGGGGTACAAAATAAACCCTTCAAGGGTTTAGGGGTTTCGGGTTTAGGGTTTGTTCCAGGGCTGTGCAGCTCCCCAACCCTAAAGCCCAAGCCAACTCCTAAACCCTAATCTGAACGACGGGGTCAGTGTTTTGGGGACTTAGGCGCCAGTGGTGGTAACGTCGGCATGCACAGGGTTTAAGGACTAAGGTTTAGGGTTCAGGTGCTCGTTAAGGTTTAGGGCTCAGCGCTTAGGGTTCTGGGTTTCGGGCTCAAGCATTCAATCAGGGGCCAATGTCCGAACTGTGGTGATTTTCTCTCCCTTGGAATGTTTTCGATGCCATTATCGGAGTGTGTCTGCTTCTAAACCCTAAACCCTAAACCCTAAACCCTAAACCCTAAACCCTAAACCCTAAACCTTAACCGTTGTCGATAGGGCTTGTACTTCTGTTTCTTCCGCCTTTTCGTCTCCTGGCCTTCATCCCGAAAGCCTGAAAACCCTCCAAAGCCCAGCCCCAAGCCTGGAAACTGAAGCCCTAAACCCTAAACCCTAAACCCTAAACCCTAAACCCTAAACCCCAGCCCCAGAGCCTGAAGCCTTGCAGCGCGACCCTGAACCGAGGCTCATCACTTGGGTGATGCTCGTGGAGACGGGCCCCTTTTTTTGCAGCTGTGGGGAGGGACTGGGAGAGCTTTGAGAGAGCTTCAACACGGCCTCCTCCTTGCCATCCTCCCGGACCCCAAAGAAGTATTAGTTTAGGGTTTAGGGTTTAGGGTTCAGGGTTTAGGGTTTAGGGTTTCTAAGATTAGGCGAGGGAGCGTGGGTTGAGGATGGGGTTAGGCTTTCGAGTTTGCAGTCAAGGATTTCGGCTTCTAGTTCCCTCCAAACCTTACCGGAACTTTCTCAGAGCCCACATAGGCCCCCTTGAAAAGAGGGTTAAACACCTCCCTAAACCCTAAACCCTAAACCCTAAACCCTAAACCCTAAACCCCAAGCCCTAAACCATAAACCCTCAACGCTAAACCCTAAACCCTAAACCCTAACAGAGCATTGAGCCTGCGACTAGCGATATCTTCAAGGGTGGTTCTTGGGTTTGGGGTTCAGGCATCAGACTGTAGAGTTGAGACTTACTTTGTGGTCTTTATTTTAGGCTTTGTAAGGTCTAGGGTTTAGGGTTTAGGGGTTTGGAGCTTAGGGTTTAGGGTTTAGGGTTTAGGGGTTTGGAGCTTTGGGTTTAGGGTTTAGGGATTTGGAGCTTAGAGTTGGGCGGACCCCTTTGCCTGTGAAGTTCCTGTAGGTTGTGTGGGTAAGCTTCGTCGCGAGCAGCGGCAGCAGACTTGTTGCTGCGCTCACGGCAGCAAGCATACATTGTGGCAGTCCTGACAAGGCCCATGATAAAGCCCGAATAAACGAAACCTGTATCAACCTTATTTTCACCGCACACACAGACCTTGGGATCCCGTAGGATGTGGAACGTTGGACTGATGCCATGTCATCAGGAAGGACCCAGACGTAGAACATGGATGCTCTTTCTCTTCTGATCTAGCCAATAGTGGTAATAAGATGGGCTATGGGAAACCCTAAACCCTAAACCCTAAACCCTAAACCCTAACTCGTATAAGAGCGTTAGGGTATACTTATTAGGCTTGCCACCTCGGAAGAGCTTTCAGGTGCTCCCCCAAGCTCCGAGGGAAATCTGTGACTCTTCGTGCCCCAAAAACACTTCTCTTCTGAAGGGAAGCGTCATGTTTAGATCTGGGGACGTGTATTTTTAGGGTTTAGGGTTTAGGGTTTAGGTCTCGGCTTTTGGGTCGAGGCTTTGGGCTTGAGGCTTCACCAGTGTGCTTAAGCCCCGGTAGCCCTTAACCCCAGATCCGGACTCGGACCTCTAGGCCGACCCCCTAAACTCGAGCATTTCTTGGAAGCAAACGACGGACCCCTAAAGTACTAGTATGGAAGCCGAAATAGTTACCACCACTATTTTTGTCAGGGTTCCTGGTAGAATTATGCTATAAGGGAGCCCCACACCCAATTCGATGATTACGGCCCCTACATTAAACCCACCCGAAGCTTCCGTTACTTCACAAAAAGACAGAAAAAGGGATCCTGATTTTGAGAACTACTTTCAAACTCCAAACCCCATAGATCCCTTCACAACCCTAGACCCTATAGGTCCCGTAATAGCTCCAAACCCTATAGATTCCTTAAGAAACTTTAAAAAACCCTATAGATCCCTTAGAGGAACCCCTGAGGAACCCTTAGAACTGCCCGTGTCTTGCTCAGGCTTCCAGGGTGCTCAGGCCACCGGCCGTGTCTTGCGATATCATTAGGTTTAGGAGGGTTTAGGGTTTAGGGTTTAGGGTTTAGGGTTTAGGGTTTAGGGGTTTAGGGTTCTTGGGGTCTTGGGGTTAGGGGTTTAGGGCTGAGTGTTTTTGGGGTCTTGGGGCTAGGGGTTTTGGGGTTAGGGTTTTAGGGTCTTGGGGTTAGGGGTTTAGGGGTTAGGGTTTTAGGGTCTTGGGGTTAGGGGTTTTGGGGTTAGGGTTTTAGGGTCTTGGGGTTTGGGGTTTTGGGGTTTAGGGTTTTAGGGTCTTGGGGGTCAGGGGTTTAGGGCTGAGTGTTTTTGGGGTCTTGGGGCTAGGGGTTTTGGGGTTAGGGTTTTAGGGTCTTGGGGGTTAGGGGTTTAGGGGTTTGGGTTTTAGGGTCTTGGGGTTAGGGGTTTTGGGTTTAGGGTTTTAGGGTCTTGGGGGTTAGGGGTTTTGGGTTTAGGGTTTTTGGGTCTTGGGGCTAGGGGTTTTGGGGTTAGGGTTTTAGGGTCTTGGGGTTAGGGGTTTTGGGGTTAGGGTTTTTGGGTCTTGGGGTTAGGGGTTTAGGGGTTTAGGGTTTTAGGGTTTAGGGTTTAGGGGTTCGGGGTTCGGGTTTAGGGGTGTCGGGTTTAGGGAATGTACAGACACGTATCCCCCGTCTAGATCTCTTAACCCAATGCGTTGAGAACCCCTCGAAAACCATTTCTGAAACCCTTGCGAAACCAGTAAAGCACACCATCTAGAGTCGTGCCAAGACCCTTACCAGCACAGAAACAAAATAAACCTTAACTCGAAGCCTGTAAACCCCTGTATGAGCGTTACTGGCATCTAAATCCCAAGCCCCACACCCCAAAACACTAAAACTCCCAAGCCCTAAACCCTACGCCCTAAACCTTCCAAACCCCTAAACCCCATACTAAACTTAAACCCTAAACCCTAAACCCTAAACCCTAAACCCTAAACCCCTAAACCCCGTACTTCTTTGGGGTCCGGGAGGATGGCAAGGAGGAGGCCGTGAAGGAAGCCTGGGAGGCGTCGGGGGTCCTTCTGTTTTTTTTGTCTGTTTTGGTTGTTGTTTGCTTCGTAGTGTTGGCTTTAGGTAAGGGTTTAGGGTTTAGGGTTTAGTGTTTAGGGTTTAGTGTTTAGGGTTTAGGGTTTAGGGTTAAGTGTTTAGGGTTTAGGGTTTAGGGCCTAGGTAGTGTTGCCCTGCTTGGTGTTTTTTTGCCTGAATTTCAAAGGTCTATTAGCGGGATGAGGCTCTAGGGTTCAGGGCTTTGGGTCTTGATGCTTCGGGTTTAGGGTTTAGGGTTTAGGGTTTAGGGTTTAGGGTTTAGGGTTTAGGGTTTCGGTGCTGGCTTGAGTCGAGGTTTCGTGTGCAAGAGTTCTGGGTTCGCCCACGGCACCCTACACCCTAAACAGTGCGCTTTACCACGCAACTCTTCTTCGGACGAGTCCTCAGTCCCTAAACCGCCTGAGCCCTAAACCCTAAAACCCTAAACCTTAAACCCTAAAACCCTAACCCCTAAACCCTAACCCCTAAACCCTAAACCCTAAACCCTATACAGAATGCAGGGCAGGGATGCTAGAATGTCTAGTTCGCAGGTCGTATGCTTTGTGGATTCGGGTTTAGGAAGTAGGGTTTAGGGTTTAGGGGTTAGGGTTTAGGGATTAGGGTTTAGGGGTTAGGGGTTTAGGGTTAAGGATTTAGGGTTTAGGGTTTCGGAGTATACATAAGTATCGGGCTTTCCAGCCTAGGTTCAGGGTCTTGGATGAGGATCTTTGCTGGTTTCCTTTCCGGTTCTCGGCTCCTGGGTTTAGGGTTTAGGGTTTAGGGTTTAGGGTTTGGGTTTGAGGGTTTAAGGTTTAGGGTTTAGGGTTTAAGGTTTAGGGTTTAGGGTTTAGGGTTTGGATTTTAGGGTTTAAGGTTTAGGTTTTAGGGTTTAAGGTTTAGGGTTTAGGGTTTAGGGCGTAGTCAATCGCTTCCTCGTTGTGGTCTCGGGTGCAGGGCTTGCAGTTGAAGGCTAGGCTTTGATCAAGGCCCAAAACACCATAAACCCCAAACCCTAACCCTAAACCACTGTAGGAGCCGGCGCCTGGCTACTTATTAACGCTGTTCTTCTTTCTTTGTCTACTCGGCTCTACCTCGACGAGGAAGCCCAATATTCGGTGGATTGAGATCAGGTTTCTTTCAAGGCCTCAATCGGAGTTTGCGTGCTTGTTCTAGCTGGGGTTTCATGAGCCTCGACACAGTTTTTCTTTGTTGGCCACAGCAGCGCTATCGTCAGAGGCACAACGTGCGCTCAGATTCGCCGGTTGATGCCCTTAGTCTTAACATCCCCAAACGTAAACCCTGAGTATTTCGGGTTATGGGGCTTCTTGCCCTCAAGTCCACCAAGCCAGGTGCTCGGGCAGACCAACAACCAGAGGCCCTTAAAGGGAATCCCATCAAGAACAGTCCCCTGAACCCTAGTAACTCGAAGCCCTAAAGGTCTGGTACGAGAAAAACTTAGCGAAAGGCCTTGCAAGCCCCCATCCGAAGCCGAGCGGCTGGTTGCAGGAGAGCCACCGTTTGCTGCTGAGCTTGATTGAGAAGACCATGACAAACTTGGACAAGCCTACAAGGCCCACCACATGGGTGAAGGGTGGAAGGGCCATATGCTGAAGTGTAAAAGTCTGACAAATCATTCATAATAATGTGACCTTATAACATATATCATATACAGTTGCAGTTTATCAAGCGCAGCAGAACCCTCTTCTTACTATTACAGCCCATCTATTTGGAGTTCTGGCTCCAGTGGTTTAAGGTGAAAGGGTCAAGCGCCTAACTGCAGGGACACGGGAGTTTGTCTGATCTATTGGCAGAAGATCAGCGGCATCAGTGCCTTACTGATACTGTCTTACTCTTACCCCCATCGGCACTACTACCGCTGCTACTGCCACTGAGACTGCTACGACGACGACGACGACGACGACGACGACTACTACTACTACTACTAGCTACCCCCCAACTATCAACTACACTTACTCCATCCGGGCTGGGCAGTGGCATGTTCTACACTCCCTAACCAAAAGTTGCAGAGGCTCACTTTCCTTAACAACTGTCACAGCGGTGAAGTCCCAGAAGCTCGCCCCAAAACTGCGACAGCAGCTGGAGTTGCAAACTCGACGGGGAAGAAACTTTCTAAACCACAGGTGGTCAGATAGTCGCTGTAAGTACTGTGCAAAACGCAGGTGCTGCCAAGAAGGTGTTAACAGTCCCAAAACCTGAAGCGCAGCATCTTCTAAACATCACAAACAAAGATGCCAGCTGTACGTGGGAGGGGCTCGCCAAAACCGTTAACGCCCAGACCTCGGCGTAGAGGGTTGGCTTTTGAAGTGGTGCGTGGTGTGTGCGCGCTAGGGTGTGGAGATATTGTTCGGGGTGTACGCGAAACCGTGTCGTGATCATCCCCGAAAGAAGCTTCCCCCCACTCAATTTCGAGTTTTCGTCGAAAGCTCTCCGAAATCCCAAGGTCGAGTTTGCAAAATCCAGAAGTAGGTTTGGTGAGTATGTAAGATGGTCCGACATCATGAAAGTACCATAAATGCCGAGTGAAACGGCTCTTCTGGAGATTTTGTTCGGGGTGTCTGCGTAACAGTGTGGTCGTCACCCCCCCCACCCCGCACCTCCCCCCAGAAAAGCAAGTCCAAAATCCGAAGCTCGAGTTTGCAAACTCGACAAGTCGGTGTTGAGGCTTCATACGATGATCCTACATGACGAAAGTGCCGTAAATACCTAGAAAGATGGATGTTGTCTTAACGTGGTTAAGACCAAGTGTACTACTACTACTACTACTACTACTACTACTACCACGACGACGCTGCTACTGCGGCTACTGGTACTGGCGCTGGGATTAGCACACAACGCTTTGACCCCTTGAACTTCGCTCTTGCTCAGTTTTGCTAGGTGTCTGTAAGACCGGGAACCAGGCATCTCAGGAGCAAGCCACCAAATCAGATGGGAGTGTTCGAAAGTTGGAGGTACCTGACTTAGGCATCCTTCTTCTAATCCCTTAATGCGGATCCTGATGTTTGGGAGTCCTTGCAATGTGGATGTTACTGTTTCGTAGTTTGGATTAGGGTCCATGATTTCTGCAAGTCCCTTTCGGTGTCGGTTCTTCCGAGACAGGCAGAAGATCATGTGTGCCATCACTCTGGATGCCCACAATCGTGACGTCCAGGAGCGCCGCGACCTCAGGGCTGGAGTTGTAGCGAATCAAGCGCCAAGCCCTAAGCCCTAAGCCCTACACCCTAAACCCTCAACCCTAAATCCTAAACCCCAAACCCCATGCCCTAGACCCTCAACCCTAAATCCTAAAGCCCAAACCCTCCACCCTATGCCCTAAACACGAAGCCGTAAACCTTAAACCCTAAAGACTAAAACCAATGCCCCCCGACAGGATCCTTTCCAAGTGACCTTAATATATGGGCCTCAATAATTCCAATAGGGTTTTGGGGTATATTTTACTATAATTGTAATAAGGGTCCCCTGAAAAAGTATAGGCAAATATCGGGGCCCCTATATTAGTTGCGAATGGACCCGTTTTCCGATCCCACAGTAATTCCGTTTGGGCTGTAAACCATCGTCTCTTTGCCTGCAATTCTGAAATCCTGAACCCTTGCAGGAGCCCCAGGCCTCATTTAGGAAAGTAGGGTTTAGGGTTTAGGGCTTATTTTTTTAAGTTCTTGGATCCTAAGCCAGATGCCCTGACTCTGTTCGAACAAGAAAGGGGCCTTATATTTTTTGGGGTTCCTTATTATTTGTATAGTATAATATACCCCCAAAGCCCCATTCTAAATATTGAGGCCATCAGGCTGTAAACCCAGAGACTCCGAAATCCCTTCAGCGACCGCTCATGCTTTGAGTTCCAGTAGCGGTTCTGAATACGGGCCACTAATCCAGGGAAGCTAAAGTCTCTAAGCTCTTTACAAAACCCTCTGCAGAACATCTGAATTCCCCTTGAGAAGCAGTGCAAATTCCGTATAAACCCCGGGATATCCTTTTCGGAATCTTGCCAACCCTGTAAACCACATGCGTTGCATTGCATAGCACGTACTTACAGCGATTCTCCCGAGCCAGTGGAAGGAGCCACGGATGTCTTGCCGGATTTGGCAGAAAATGCAATACAACCCATGCACCAAGTGTTGTGTGTTGAGGCATGCAGTGCAGCGGGGAACCGCGAACAGCATGCCCATACCTGGAGGATAGGAGGAATTTGTCATTAAGGTTCTAAGTACCTTAATCAGGGCCATTTAGGGTTTAGGGTTT